GTTTTCTCTGCCCAGAGAGTCCAACTGCAGCCTATCCACTTTGTCTGACTGTGCTTTACCTCCCCAGCACACAACCTGGAATCCTGGCCGCCCACTCAGGCCAGGAGGGGTTCGAATACAGCACATGGTTCTGATTTTTCTCTCCCTCCTCCGTCTCCCATCAGGAACTGCTGACTTAAAATGACTGTAAAAAGAAGACAGGGCATGGGACATCACTGCCTGAATACAGATGTTCACATCGTTAAACCTGTCATTACTCTGCTGCTCAGTGAGCCGATGGCAGTGCTGACACCAGCTTTGGATGTGTGAAACTGTTACCAGAACCTCCCTCATGAAATACAAATCCTGTGCAATAACCAGGTGATAAAGTCCCACAGCACAAACAAACCCTCAGATCAGGGCGTGGAATCAGATGCAGTGAGAGTGACACCAAAAGTTTGCCTCTCCCTCACCCACCCAAAATGCCATATCTGTTCTGAGCCAATCTGGGAGGGCAGCTGCCTGTTTTCCAGTGCAAGCACCTGTTTGGGGATCAGGGAAAGGATCATTAAAGACAACACTGGCTTGCAGATCCACCCATTCCAGCCTGCTGCACATGTATATGACTGTAAGCTTCTAACTCACATAGTTCACCTGGGGTGAGAGGGCTACCGTGACCTGGGGCTTAAATAACCACCCAGCCTTTTGCTGGAAGCCTTTGGAATACTCTGGAAAGGGGCATGATTCAACCTTCTGAAAATACTCTGACAGGTTTTGGTTACTGCATTTATGCCAGCCCAGGCACAGATCCACAGGTCAGAAGCAGGAGGAATCCAGTCCCCTGTGCAGCTACATTGTCCCCAGCAATGGCACTCAGGCAGGAGGTGATGGAAATATTTACATGTCGCCATGCACTATATAAATGGAAATTTTTGGGACTGTACATTGATGTAAGTGAATGCAAATTGATGAGAGGCATAAGGTTTGTTTCATGGCTAGATGGTTGTCTACCTCTGCAAAGAGACGGGGGGGGGGATTTCTTCGAGTGGCCTTTTAAATAATCCAAGTCCTTGGAAGTTTTCTACCACAGTCAGGTTTCCTACCAGAGTCAGACTTCCTACCACAGGGAGATTTTCCACACCAGATGCTTGTTCTTTTTTTTTCTTTTTGATCCCCCTGTAGCATATGAACACAGATGGTCTTGTTTCAGCCCATAAGATCTTGGAAAATGTGAAAGCTAAATAATTTAACTGGAAAGAGCTCTCTCTCCGAGGCCCCTCTCCTGACTCTCCTTGCCAGGCTCTTTACTACTTGCTAAAATAGAACTTCCACTATAAATAGGAAGGAGATCTCCTGCCTGCCCCACTGGCCTGGCTGTAGGAACAGTTGGCTTTCAGTCCCTCTCGAAACTACAGTTCAATCCATCTTCCTACAGTGACACCAAACAGGAGACCTTCTAACGGTGCGTCAGAGGAGAAGTGAATAAATCTGGTGCTGGAGGCAGAACAAAATATCTGGAATATTCAGCAAGGAGCAAACCCAGAGTGTCCCGAGACCCACAGAAATTGGGGTCTATTGATGAAAACACTTCCACACAATGAATAAAATGTGGTATATTTATAGCTGGAATGTGGTCCTGGCTGTCACCTGACCGCCCGACAGCCCCAGACAGATGACAGCATGGTGACTTTGGCTGCCGTGGCTGCCTTCCACAACCCTCTGCACAGGGACACAGCACAGCCACAGGCAGCGAAGATCCCATTTTACCTCCTAAAACACAAGTCACGAGGACATTCCCTCAGGAATCAGATGATCTGAGGTCACTCACCTACTATCAGGTGACATCCTACAAAGACGTAACGTCTGCCCCTCTGCAGATACGTGCAGGCTTAAAGGTCTTCTCAGTCAGACACTATTTCAGTCAGGCATTTAAAAAATTATCTGACTTTATGTGAATATTTCCACTGCTGCTCTCATGCTGGGAGTTAAGTATGTCCCTCAGTACTTCCATCAAGGATGTGATGACGAGCACTGCTACTATGCTTTCCTAGAACAGCGTGTACAACAAGGACTAGGGAATATATTTTATATCTCTTATGATTCATCGTGTGGAACAGTCACCTCAGGTTTGAGCCAGAAATACATCCAGTGGATTGGGATCAATTGACAATAATAAACGTTTGGGAGGGGAAAGGCTGAACCCCAGAGAGCTGGGGAATTTTTAACCCTGCTGAAATCAATGGCAATACTCAAAGTGGTGTCAGTAAGGTCAGGATTTCACACACGATCACACTGACAGTGACCTCAAAGTCACTTTTAGTGCCAAGTGTTCCCAAGGTCCTGCAATTCCAGCACCGCTTTTGGGTGTTATTATGAGACAAAACATTTGAGTGTAACCCTCCAGGCCTCGTGACTCTGGCCCTGAGGGCATTAAAGTTTCTTTTTTCCTCATTTGACCCTGCTCTCTAGATCCTCAGCTGTGAACTCTAGCACAGACCTACACCCCTACAAAACCCTCCTCTCCCTGGCCCTGTGTCCCACAACCATCTCCCAAGTGAATTTTTCTTTGTTCCTTTTTAATCTCTACTTGCAGAAGTTTTCCATGACTTATAACCACCTCTTGTTCTTGGCTTTTTCAGTCACTCACCAGATGGGGAGTTCTGTGCAGGATAAAGGGTTTTTTATTTTCCTTTGTGGTGAAAAATGCTCTGTGCTTCACATCTTTTCAGATGCCCAACAGTAAGGTGGGTGGGAGAGACAGTGACCTCTTACTCTTTGCCTCAGCATTTACAAAAAGGAACCAGCTTTCCATTTTCCCAAAGTTCTGTGATGGTCTCCTCCAGAGGGACTTTCTGCTTTGCCTCTTGGCTCAGTGGTTGGCACAGTAAGAATAGAGAGTCCTTGTTTCCAGCTTTGATCCTGTCAATTCCACAGTCAACACTGACCAGAATGTTACACAACATCCCTCTCTTTGTCCTTACAAAACTATCTGTGTCAACTTCATTTACTGTTCTTGGATCTACAAAACTAATTTGCCCCTTGTGTGCCCACACTCTCAGTATCTCCTTTGGAAGAAAAACAACAACAACAGCAACAACAAACATGGGAAGAAATAAGCTTACTCTCAGATTTTATTTTTATGGCTTTGTCTAAATGAAGGACTTGGAGAACATGGAGCTTCAAGGAATTTTTCAAAGAATTTCTGCATCCTGGTTGAAAACACCAGAAGTACCTTTTCAACACTATTTTCATCCATCTACTCTCTATCCCTAGCAAGGAAAATAAATCAATTATAGCAATCCCTCTAACACTGGGAACTGCCCCAATCCCAGAGCCAAGAGACACGTGACAAAACTCACTTGGAAGAGTAATTTGTAAGGAAGGGACATATTTTAGAAATGAGATGTCATCATTTAAGGGACAGTGTGTACACAGGGCAGCTGCTGGCATCTTGGAGATTGGCTACATCAGTGTTCTGTGAGGAGAAGTACCTGGGTTTGCAGGACTTTAAGTATCTGAAGGAGGGTGTCAGAGGATGGACCAGGCTCTGCTCAGGATGCCCAGCAATAGGATGAGAGGAATGGGCACAAACTGGTGCCCAGAAGTTCCATCTGAACCTGAGGAAGAACCTTTTTCCTCTGAAGTGACTGAGCACTGAACAAATTATCCAGAGAGGATATGGATAGTCTCCCTCACTGGAGATATTCCAGAACTGTCTGGACACAACCCTGTGCCATGTGCTCTGGGATGGTCCTGCTGGAGCAGGGAGGTGGGACCAGATGACCCACTGTGGTCCCCTCCAACCTGAGCCATTCTGTGATTCTGTCACCCTCCCTGGTGCAGGACACACATCTCAAATGGCAAACACATTTATGGGAGAGGTGTTTTAACCACCTCTCTGAGCCTACCTTGCAGCTAACTTTTCTTTAACACTCCCCAGAAGAATGCTGAAGGAGTCTTAGCTAAAAGACTGAGTACAGTCCCTCCATTTGATGTTATTACATCTTTCACATCTTTGCCCCCTTGATTCCAGGGGGACATGTGCAGGGTCGGGATTTTTGGGAGCAATAATTAATCTACCATATCTCCCCAACAATATCATTTTCTAGACTCACCATCAGAAACCCTTCCCTTATCCCATCAACTTTGTCATATTCAACAGGTTACTCCACTTTCATTCACTCCTGCAAGGACAAAATCCATACCCATGGAGATGCAGAGGGAGATAAGAGGAGCCTGGAGGAGATGTGGGGGCTGAGCCCACACCACCAGAATGGCTCCAGTTCAGTCTTTCTTTTTGCCAGCACCACCAGCAACCTGCCTGTGCCTGGCTTTCTGTGAGTCTCACCCACACAAAGGTGAACACTTCACACCAGGACTTCGACAGATCAAAGCCTGAAAGGGTAAATATTTCTGTCAGGGATCATTACTTTGCTTTCTTCCTTTGTTTGCCCTGGAACAATGTGGGGAGGGAAAAAAAGAAGGCAGAAGTCTGTACAATTTAACAATGCTGCATTGAGAGAGACAATATCTGACATCACAGAAATGACCCTCTCCTTGCTCCCCAATTCTTGTCTTTTAGAGAGAGGGGGACATTCTTCTGCTTCTTGCAGCAGGGGTGAAGGAATGTGGATCTGTGGCTTTGGAATAACATTTTAGATCTAGTGAAAGGCACTTTGACCTTGGCATAAGAACTGTGCCAATAGTGCTGGTGTTCAAGGAAAAGAAAAACATCAAAAACCAGACAAGCCTCCCATGTCCGACAATAGGGAAAACACTCACAAATGGGATTTTTAAGCCAGTTGAACAATATCTCTTCTAAAAAAGCCACAGAGTTAATGTCCCCTGTGCAGAAAATATTTTAGAGCTCTGCTTAATTTGATGAACAGTATTTTAGCAGAGTCCAATTACTAATACTCCCTGTGTTTCCAAATATATTTGGGTACCTGGAAAACTGGGAAAAACCCCCCACAAAAACAAACAAAAAACTAAAGCAGAAGTGTTTGATAAATATTTCCTGCCTGTATTTGGGACAAAGTTAAATGTCATTTCCAGAGTGCCATTTCCATGTTATATAATGATGATGAAATGATTCCTATCCAAGCAACTTAAAAAAAGAACATCAAAAGCACCACTAACATTTTAAAAACAGCAGGTCTAGAGGATGGTGTGTCATCATTTTAAGAGCTGGTTCTTCAGACGACTGTTCTCACACAAGGTGGAAATGTGAGAGTTTATAAACAGCCCAGGAGACCATTTCTAAGGAGAAAAACAGCTTTGTGTCAATATTTGAAGAGCGTGACTAAGGGAAGTCCAGGTAATTTCAGTCTGGCGAGTCCAACATCGCTCCTGACCTGGCTATAAGGAAGTGGTTTGCACCAGTTAATAAGGAGATGGAGAGTGGGGGTGTAATGGAACAGCAATCAGCAGTTTTTGTGGGAAATGGTTCCTGTCAAAGAACAAACTTCATCTTGTTCTTTAATAAAATCACGAGTACAGCTGATAGCAGGAACGGTGTTGACTCAGTGCTGTACAGCACAAAAAAAATACATACAAAATCAATACGAGTGCATAACAAATGGTTTAAAAATAGCTATCGGAAAGATCTTAAAATGGCTTTGTAATAAAGGATTCATCAATGAATAAAGGCTGCTTCTAATGGACTCTTGCAGGCACTTGCACTTGTGCTACTCACTGTGCTGCAAGAAAACACAAGATGATCACATCATTTGTAAACTGTGAGAGTTTCAAAACTGTTAAGTAGTTTCATTACTTAAAATTGCACTGATGGGAGTAGCTCGTCTTGTAAACAAAGACTGATGGGATGAGGGTAATCACTTGGTAGCGTGAGTTTAGAATCACAAAATCATTACAAATTATTATATCTACTTTCATGGTACCCTTTCCTCTTGGACAAAGGGAGGTCCTTGGGAGCTTGTCATGGTGCCTCTTAACTCTTTTCCAGAAAGTTCCCAAATGTATTAACTCTGCAGAAACAAAATATGGAGATATAGATATATATCTATATATCTATATATCCATATATATATATATAAGTCTTCTGTGAAGGTCTCATGATAAAAGGATCACAGTAACCACCACTCTTAGGCATAGAATAGGATATCCTGAGTTGGAAAGGACCCACAAAGATCTGTACGGAAATTCAGAGTGTTACATAAATAACATTTCAAAATAAAGGTAACTTAGCTTTAGAACTTCCACATTTATTCCACTGTAAGGAAACGCTCTTCCTCTGATGGTAAATGAAGTTTATATTTTTGGTCTTATTTTTAATTTCTTGTAACTCTGCAGTGATGGAACTTGAGTCCTGTGTCATGCCAGAAACTTTCAAGCTGCTCCACATCTGTGAGCTCAGAGCTGCTAACAGAAAAAAAAGGGGAAATACTCCATTTTTTATCTCAAATGAGAGAGGTCTGGGTTCACAAATTCCTTCACAGAAGGGTAACTAAATGGTCTTTAAGGTCCCTTCCAGCCCAAAGCATTCTGTGATTCCATAATCTGAAAGAATATATAAAATAAGTAAAGAAAATTTGAAGTGCCCCTTCATTTGGACAATCTTCCCTGGATGTCAGACAAGGAGCAAAAGGAGGGAGAATTTGAGTAGGATGACATAAAGGGGGAAAAACTTGTTGAAGGAGAGAAGATGAAATCCCACTGGCTTTGATGGAAATGGGGATAAAAAGTGAGAATCCTACAATCTGTGTCTACAAAGCAATCTACAAGATAGCTTAACATTCCCTTTTTCTTCCCCACTGTGGAGAAAAATCTGGGACAAGGCTTCAGAGTGAAATTACCCTGTGCAGTTCATTAGAAATGCAAAAGATAAGTCAAACAAACAGATCCTATTCCTTTTGGTAGAGCAATGGGACCAAACACCCCAGCACAGCCGCCTCCCCTGGCTTCTTGTTTGTTCCTTGTTTATCTCCTCTCTTTTTCCTCTCTTTCTCCATTTGAAAAGACAGAACAAACATGCAGAAAGCTCCTGTGGTTGAATTAACAATGTTCTTGGAGCTTTAAGGATTGAAGAGTGCTGCTGATGCATCCAAGGATCCATGGGCAGCCTTTCAGCAGGATTTTAATGACTCAGGGAAACACCACTCCAGCAGCAGCGAACACTTCTAAAAGCTTCACCTTCCCTTCCAGCCTGAACTCAATCTGGCCTCTCTCTGAGTTTTAACACACTCCATTAACAGGATTCCCCAGCTGAAAGCAGACATAGGAGGTAGGCCACAAGCCTATTTTTGGACATCCAACCCTGTGCAAAGCACAGAAGTTCCCTTGTCAGTGCAGACTGTAGGATGGAGACAGGCAGAATGTGTAGGAGAAGGGAGAATCAGGGAACACATGCTCTGTACTCTGGTTTTTTTCCTCCCACAACGGACACTGGGGCTGTGAGGGGGGTTTGCTGTAAATCCAGAAGGAGAGTGACACACACAGACATTTAGGGGTGTGGCACACAAATGTATCCCATACTCACACACACACAACCCTTTTAGGTGGGGTGAAAAACCCCACCATCCCCCACAGGCCTGCAGAGGCAGTTGGGTGCTTTGAGTAATTCACAGGCAGAGGTGACATCCAGTCATCCCCCTTCCCCTGCCCTTGCCTTAGGAAAAAGCGTGTGTGTGTGAGTGTGAAGGTGGGGTTGGAGGTACAATCATCACACAGCCACAACCCCCTGTCAGGCTGTTGGTCACAACAACCCCCTGGAGTGCCACAGCCTTGGGACAGAGTGGCTGGAAAGCTGTCCAGTGGGAAAGGACTTGGGGGTGCTGGTTGACAGCAGCTGAATATGAGCCCAGGTGTGCCCAGGTGGGCAAGAAGGCCAACGGCATCCTGGCTTGGACCAGGAATAGTGTGGCCAGCAGGACCAGGGCAGTGATTGTCCCCCTGTTCTCGGCACTGGTGAGGCCACATCTCAAATCCTAGTTTTTTTGGGCCTTCATGACAGGGAAACCATTTTGGTGCTGGAGCATGTCCAGGGAAAGGAACGGAGCTGGGGAAGGGTCTGGAGGACAAGTCTGATGAAGAGAGGCTGAGGGAGCTGGGGAGGGTCAGCCTGGAGAAAAGGAGGCTCAGGGGGGGAACTTCTCACTCTCTGCAACAGGAGGGTGGAGCCAGGTGGGGGTTGGGATCTTAGACAACTAGT